GAAACCTCCAAGTTGCCAGAGGCAGAAGATCCCAGCCTGATGTGGTGCTTTACCCGTTTGCACACTTACCATCACAGGGCACTCACCGCCACTCAAGGCCCCAGAGGACTCCTGATTGCACAAGGTCTTCTTGAACAGACCAGGGTGTGTGTGTGTGTGTGTGTGTGTGTGTGAATGAATTTAGAGCATGATAAAGGCATATCACAAACTAGCAAGGAAATGAAGGATGAAGGATTTTTCAATCCATGATACTAGCTCAATGATCTAACTAGATGAGATCTCAAATGGACTTAAAAACTCAGTAAAAATCAAACAAGAAAAAAAATGTAGGCGAATGGAATTTGGGGATACAGAAAGGGTTTTCGAAGCATGCAAGCAATAGAAGATCCACAAAGAAAAAGATAACGAATGTGACTGCATAAAAACTTTGCATTTCTCTATGTTATGGACTCAAGCATGATAATCAATATCACTTTTTAAAAGGGGCAAAGGTCGAAGGAGGTGATTCACAAAAGAAGAAATACAAACAGCTACTATGCATATGGGGAAAAAACATTCGATCATGTTCATAATCAGAGAAATGTCAGCTAAAGTAGCCATAAGGTGTCAGCTCTCACCTATCAAATTGATTTTTATTAAAAAGGGTAACGACATTCAATGCTGCAGAAAAGATGTGCGCTCCCTCACGCTGCTATAGCAGAAGCACAAATTGTTACATCCCTCCTGGAAACCACTTTTCTAATATGTATTGAGAACTGTAAAACTTTGCCATATGCCCGATTCTTTTTTTTTAAGATTTTTATTTATTTATTTGAGAGAGAGAGAATGAGAGATAGAGAGCACGAGAGGGAAGAGGGTCAGAGGGAGAAGCAGACTCCCTGCCGAGCAGGGAGCCCGAAGCGGGACTGGATTCCAGGACTCCAGGATCATGACCTGAGCCCAAGGCAGTCGCTTAACCAACTGAGCCACCCAGGCGCCCTGCCCGATTCTTTGATACACAAAGAGCACAGTTTCAAAAAGAGAGAGAGGTAGTATAAAGAGAGATTTACAAGACTCATCAACCACACGCAAAACCTGGACTTTTGTTTGGATCCTGATTCAAACAGGTTGTCTGTGGGAAGACATTTTTGAGATCATTGGAGAAAATTCCACCTACCCAGATATTAGGCGCTATTTAGGAATTATTGTCAATTTTTTTTAGGTGTGCAAATGGCATCCTGGTTTTGCTGCAAGAAGTTATTGTACCTATTTAAAGAAGTAAAACTTAACTTTTACAGGGGAAATAATACAACATCAGGACCTGCTTTAAAACATTCACAAAAAAAAAAATGAGAAGGGGCTAGATAAAACTGTCAGGATGTCAGTAATCATGAAAGCTGAATGATAACACAGGATGTCTGCTTCACAACACTCTCCAACATATATTTGAAATTTTTTCCGTAATAAAAGGTGTTTTAATATATCACTTGAACCAGTCGTCCTGCTTTGAGGTTCTATCCTGAGGAAATGTTCAAAGATGTGCACAAAGATTTATGTACAAATGTATCAACAAGAAAACTAGTCATCAAAGAAAAAAAATCCATTAAAGCAAAAGATCACATGACACGTTGTGACAATAGCCAAAGAACCACGTCCTGGAGTCACCGTGGCAAAAAGAGATTTTTAAAAACACATATCGGACTTTGGAAAATGTTCATGTATTAAGTGATGGGAGAAGGGGAAGCAAGATACAAAATTATTATATTCACTATGATCCCAATTATCTTCCAAATGAATATGTTTGCAGAAGGAAAAAAACGCCAAAAGGTTAACAGTGGTCATCGTTGGAAGGTATAATTACAGATGATTTCTATTTGCTTCTTTAAACTTTTCTATATGCAACAAGGTGGAAAAAAATGTAATTATCTTAAGAGCTGGTGCCAAAACTCTCAGAAAGAATCTGGCTTTGGAGAAAGACCTTGATGCGTACGTGGGCTAGAAGCTGAATCCTTGAGGGCCTGGCCCAAGGGGAAGCTGACACCAGGCCCCGCTGTGCCTCAGGGCAATGCGGGCAGGGTTCTAAGAAGCAGGGGAGGCTTGGAGGACATAAACCAGAGGGGAACGCACAGAGGCTTTGAGTGTCCTCTGTTTGGGGGATCAAGGGGCCAGCTCATTTCCCCTGGAACTCAGAGATAATGTCTCTCCCTGCACCCTAACTGACATTTCAGTAACCTGTATGTTCCAAGTGTTCTACAGTAACAGGCATTGCTTCTAAAATCAGAAAGAAAATTCAAGTTTTCTTTTTCTTTGTTTAGGGAAATCAAGTCTTCTTTATCCCGACCTGGAACCTGCCTTTCCAGAGCCGTCCCCGACGGCTCCCCACCTGGATCCACCCAGATCGAGTGGGTTCTGTCTCCCCCCTGCAGCCTGAGGGGAGTGAAGGCGGCGTTCCCTTCCGCGGTAGACCTTAATTCTTGTCTGGTAGCATAGCCCCGCATGTTGCTTCACCCCGGCAGCAGTCCTTCATCCCAGTTACAAAAACGCACTCCAGCTTGTGGGTTTTCTCCCCCACTTACAGACCCGGTCTCCTCGTGCCTAACCCCCCCACCACAAGCCCTCACCGGCTGGCCTTTCCTCCTGGGAGGTCTGAGCCCCCAACTCCTGAGGCTCTTTCTCCTAGCTTCTAACTTAACTTCTGGGGTACTCCCCCCCCACAACCGTGATGCCTTGGTGCTTTGTTTTTACCTTTTCAGTTTTCTGATGACTGCCTGTCCCTTCTATGAAACGCTTGCTCTTAAAATACCCTCTGTGTGGTTTCTGCCTCCCGATTGGACCTGACTGATAGGCCACTGGTAGGGGTCATCTTCCCCCACGGTGCACCTAATGGGTGATTTTCCAGATGCACCTGTTGGATTTCCTCCTGGGAGGTGGGAACATAGCTCCTGCCTGCCAAGAGATTGTTGGATTCTGTCTTCCATCCCGTTGACTATCCCTCCCAGTCTCACATCACCCACCAGTGTGCTTCACTGACCTACGGCCCTCATCCAAGTCCCTGATCAAAACACCACCCAGGATGGAGGCCTCTGTGCACCCCTGATGACCTCCCTCCCTTCCCCCCGAAGCATCTTCCAAGAGGCCCTGCTCTCCTCTGGGTACTCACGAATCACACCGGAGCTGAGACACGTGGAAAGCCATATATGAGTCATCCCGAAACTGCAATCCAGCACCAGGGGGGCATGGCTGGTGTCAGCTAGCACCCCCGTGGCTGCCTCTGGGGAGAATGGGCCTCCCCAGTGAGAACCTGGCATCACCAACCTCCAGAAAGCCACGCCCTCACATCGGGAGCCACTGGGGCCCTTTCCCTTGGAGCACATTCACCCAGGTCCAGTGTTTATGCTGTTTACTAACTTCACAGCAAAGTAGCAGCACAAATAATATCAAAGGCCTATTTTGTAAATTGCATGTAAATTATATAATTTTCCCAGGAATAATTTTTACATCTAATTAGCACAAATTGTCTTACCAAAAAAAAAAAAAAAGTTTGCACCCAAAAATAGCACATGGGTTTTGGTTACCTTAATTAGAAATGTTTCCTTTAAAATGAAAATAAGCAATCTTGCAAATCAAAGAGACTCCAAGGTCAGGCTTGGGCACCCCAGCTTCTCTTGGGGGAATCCAGGAGGTTCTTGGAGATCTCATTGGGAAGAGGTTTCTTATATGGGAAAGAGGGGGTCACCCAAGGTGATCTCACCTCTGGGGTTGGGAAGTTGAACCCCAGAAGGAAAAGAGAGGATGTGTACAGAATGCACACTCCCTCATAACAACCTCGACTCAGAGGTGATTCCATCACTTCTATATTCCACTGGCAACAGCTAGTCAGAACCAAAGGGCAGAGGGAACAGAACCAGAACATTCCCAGTGGAGCCTTGGAACATTCTTGATAAGCACAGGAGATGGACACTGGTGAGCCCCAGATGTCTCTGCCCCAAGGCTCAGCACAGGACCAGATCCTCCAGCCCTCTCCCCATAGACTGGGGTTGGCTCCCTCTCCCAGTCATCCATGGGCTGGATTCCTGGTCCAGACTCCTCCGAGAACTCCTTAGCCGGCTGCCCACCTGGCAAGGCTTGTCATTTCTGTTTAGGGACTCTGGCTGCCACAAGATCACCTCCACCCATCCACAAAGATGACTGACAGATTGGCTCAGGCCAGACCTTCCCCCACCCCTGGGACACTTGCCAGGGTGAGGCTCCTGGTCGCCACCCACAGCTCTCCATTCCTCCGCCCTGCCTACACCCCAGCACTGAGTCCTGTATTCATTACCTAGGACTGTTACAAACTGAGGGCCTTAAACAGAAACTTATCTCTTCTAGAGTCCATGATCAAGGCACAGGCAGGCTTGGCGCCTCCTGAAAGCTGTGAGGGAGAATGTGGTCCAGGCCTCTCTCTCTCAGTTTCTGGTTGTCTACTGACAATCTCGGAGGTTCCTTGGCTTGTAGATGCCAAGCCTTCAGCCTCCCTTGGCATTCTCCCTTTTTACTATCTTCCCTCTGTGCATGTCTCTGTGTCCGCATTCCCTCTTTACAAGGACACAGTCATATTTGATCAGGCCCAACCCTAATAACTTTGTTTTAGCTTGATTATCTGCAAAGACCCTATGTCTAAATGAAGTCACATTCACAGGTCCTGGAAATCGGGGCTCCAACATTGGCGGGAAGAGTAGTGGGGAGAGGGTACAATTCAACCCACAACAGGGTCCCAGCATGCTTTGTGGTCTTGGCTGAAAATGCCTTGACAGCCTTGGGCAACCCCACCTGCCCAACAACCAGAGAGAAGGAAGAGGGTTCTTTTTTTTTTTTCTTTAAGGTTTTATTTATTTATCTGACAGAGAGAGACACAACGAGAGAGGGAGCACAGCAGGGGGAGTGGGAGAGGGAGAAGCAGGCTTCCCGCGGAGCAGGGAGCCCAACACGGGGCTCGATCCCAGGACCCTGGGATCATGACCTGAGCCGAAGGCAGACGCTTAACGACTGAGCCACCCAGGCGCCCCAGAAAGAGGGTTCTTTTGATGGGAACACCCCCACCTCCCATCCCCAGGCCCAGAACGAGTGGCTGTGGGAGGCAAGTGTGGGAGAAGAAGAAAAACAGCCAAACTCAGAGCCCTGCCACATCAGTAGCCTCCTGAGGATTAATAATTATTAAGTTATTCATAAAGATTAATCTGGATCCCTCCTAAGAGCTCCAGAGGAGGCTGGCTCCTAGCATCCACTAGCTCCTGCCCACTAGCCCGGGGACCAAGTGGCCCCGCCTCATCTCCTGGGGCCTCTGGCCTCAGAAGCAGACCTGGGTTTGAATCCTACCCTGCCACTTTGTGGCTAAGACACCTTGAGCAGGCCTGCCCCTTTCTCCCAGGATTGAGTGAGCATTGCACGCGAGCCATTTGCAAAGTGCCCGCGCAGATGGACGCTCTGTGAGTGTTTGCTGAGTCTCACAGGGAAGGCCCGAGGCTGGAGCCTTGCAGAAGCCTGAGCCATGAGTCAGGGCCACACAAGCTGAGGAATGGGAGAGTCACAGTACATCAGTTGACACGGAAGCTGCATGGGACTTCTTTCTGCTCGTTGATGATGGCGGCCAGTGCTGAGCCAGTAACACCTAAAACGGACACACACACACACACAGACACACACAGACACACACACTCACGCTGCCTGGGTTTCAGAGCCCGGAGCCCATTCCCGGCCCAAGACCATCATCCCCACTCTGCCCTATTTCACTTTTCTTCTGATGGTCTCAGAACCTCCCCTTCAGAGGTTCTCAGCAAGTTTATATTTGGGAATGATTGTAACGTAATCTGATACGTAATTAGGGCAGAATAGAAGACTGTGTTTTTAACTACCCATACATCTCCATCTCATTTAAATAATTCCTAATATATCCAAGCAGGCTGCCTCACGCGGCACTGATGTGTACTGAGCTGAGGATAATGAAATAAGGGATGGGAGAGGGGAAATGCTATTTCAGAGTCCGAAGATCACCAATTAATGACATGAAAAACCAAGAGGGACTCTGTGCACTTCATGTCCCCTGTGCAAGGCACAAACGCGGACCCCTCCCAGGCCCCCCGTTCAGCTCCCCCAAGGCAATTACAAGAAGCCAGGGGGACAAGGAGGGCGGGAGCGTGGCAGGGGCAGTCCCGAGGGGACAGAGCTGGTGCAAGGACAGCCCCCATCCCCACCGCCAAGACGGCCCTTTTCACATCCCACTGCCCCTCCGCCGCCCTGACCCAGCCCCCCATGCCTCCCCTCACTCTGCACCACACATGTTTCATGGCAGCACTGAGATCCAGCCAGAGATTCATGGGCCCTGTTCTACTGAAACAAGCCACCCACTCAGCCCACCTGCTCATCACAGCCCATGGCCCTGAAGGACATGGTCCCCATCTGCACTTCCATCCCAGGCCGTAGGCCACTCACAGGGCTCTAACCTCACACGCTCAGGGGCTTTGCACAGGCTTCCCTCTCCCTGGACACTGCCTGGACTCCTCCCCGGCTGGCTCCTGTCCATCCTCAGGTTTCACTTCCATGTCTCCTCCTCGGAGAGGCCTTCGCAGACCTGTGTCATTCCCTACCCCAGCGCCCCATTTATCAACGTTACAGCACAAACCACAATATGTCACTTACGTGTTCTATTCCCAAGCCCCATGCGGCAGGGACCTTGTCATATTTCCACTGGTGCACGCTGAGCCTAACACAGAGCAAAGCCCAGAATAGGTATCAGCACAAATGCTTTGCGTGTGTTGAATGGATGATTCTATAGGAGAGAGAGGGAGTAAGCGGCATTGGCCCCGCATTCCTGCTTAATGCCCCCCCTCCAACCTCCTCCATCACATGGTTCTCAGAATACCCCACCACCTGACCCCTTAGGGAGGCCTTTCTCTCTGCCACCCGAGACCTCTGCGTTCTCATCACTTGTGCCCCATCAGCAAGCTCTGGGACATTACCATGTGGCTTCTCCAAGTGTGATTACCAAGCCCAGCAAGGTCCCACCAGCATACAGAGAGGCAAGGGGTCTGGGTTGGGGCTGGAATGGGCCAGTGAGCATGGCCTCCGGCAGGAGCTGAGATTGGATCACAGGAGATAGAAGTCACAGCTTGGGGTGGAAGCCCAAGCCGGCCAGGCCTCAGTGGCTGGGCTTTTGCGATGGGCCAAGAGAGGGCTGCTAATGGTCCCGTGCTCCTAGCTGTGCTACTCCCTTAACAGAAACAAGAGATCCTCCAGCACCTTTGTACCCCTCCACCCTCAACACATACACACACACACACACACACACACACACACACACACACACACACTCCTCTTGTTTTTCCAGGACTGAGACCTCAGCCCACAGTGCTGGGTATGAATTTGGTATCCAGAAAAATACTTGTTCCATCAGCACAGCCCACAGGACTCCCAAAGGGGAGAATTTGGGGGGATTTCATTTTTCTCCCAAATGGCCTCTTAGCAGCAGATTTGACTCACAGGATGTGGATTAGCATCCTCTCTCTGCAAGAAGCCGGGCACAGGGGATGACCGACCTGTCCCACAAGTCAGGATGGAAAATGGGCCAAAGTGCCCAGGAACACAGCCTTCTCCCCCGTCCTCACTCATCTGCCATCACCCTGGTGCCTGCTCATGCTGGGCTGCAGGGCTGCTGGCAAAGCGTCCTGGGCTGCAAGTTCCCACATGTGCATCCTCCCTGACCTCCCGCTCCGGTCCTCACTAGCCTGGGAATCTTGGCAAGTACCTCTGGGGTCGTTAGCTACATTCCTAGACAAACACCAGGGCCCCCCACCCTGGAAGCACCGTGTACCTTAAGGACAGACTTGCCCCCCACTGCCAGCCCCTCTGTGGACCAGACAGACCAAAATGTCCAGGACAGGCCCCCTCTTAAACACATGACCCTAAAGACCACCACATTGAACAGTGAACACGTCAGACCTCCTCATCCTGGTTTTTCAGTTCAGAAAACCCGCTCAGCACACGGGGTTTCCTCCAGGCCCCGGGCAGCGCGGTGGAGGGCTGGGAGCTCGGACTTGGAAACCAGACCACTTAACTCCAGACCCAAGCTCTCTTGCTCCCTGGCTTTGTGGCCTCAGCTCATCGCTCCCCTCTTTCTTCTGGCTCCTCACTCGTAAATGGAGGTAAATGTGTCACCTCCTTCCAAGAGCTGCTTTGAGAACAAATGAATTAATGTTCAAATTAACCTGCAGGTTAATAACCGTCTGTCCTGTTTTGCCCAAAACTATCCCAGATTTGGCACTGAAAGTCCTGCACCCTACAAACCCCTTGCTTCCCAGATAAAAACAGAGGTCGTCACCCTAACTAAATATGTGTGTATATTTATATATAAGGTGCCTGACACGTGGTAAGTACTAAATAATATTACCAAAAAAAAAAAAAAAACCCTGAGCTGGGCACCAGTGACATCACCTGCCAAAACGTGCCCCTGTACCGACTTGCCCAGCCCACCCCCACCTGGGGCAGGCTTACAGATTGATTTGGGGCCAGGCTCCTAATTCAGTGCCTGGAGCAGGCCTGTGAGGCAGACCCGTTCCCCTGCTGGCCTGGGACGCCTGGAGGGGTCCCCGCACCCGGAAATGTCCTGTTCTACGGCCCCTCCTCTGGCGTCAGAGTCTTTCTGCTCCGAACAGATGGGCCCCCAGGGGCCGCCCCCGCAGCCTAGGGAAGCCCCAGCCCCTTTCACACGCAGGTAAAACTTTAACCAGAGGCCTTTGGCGGCGCACTGGGCCCTGCACTCCCATTCAGGGCATGATAAATAGCTGCTGTCACTGGGACATGAATGCCCATATTGAAGAGCCCTGCTTTCTGTCTCCCTCCCTTTCAGGCTGCCAACTTCTTCTCTCTTAAGCCACCGGGCGTCACTCACATGTCACCTTCTCCTGAATGCCCCCCAGTCAGAGACCCTTGCTCCCACTGCCCCCCGCCTCCCACCTGCCCGCCCCTCCCCTCCCCCACCCTCTCCTCCCCTCCTCCTGCTCCCCAAATCCTCTCCTGTCGCATCCCCCTCCTCCAGCCCTGATTCGCCCCATCCCAGGCCCTGGGCCAGGGAAGCTCACACTCTTGCCCCTGTCATCCACACGGTCACCGCCAGGACAGCTGACCCCAGACACAGGAACTCGCCATCACTGCCCCAACAGCACCGGCACCATGTCTGCAGTCCTAAAGGGAAGGAGGGCAAAACCAAACAGGAAGCCCAAAAAGTAAGTGAGAAGAGAACAGAGTCATAGTGCCCTAACACAAGGGCCTTTACCCCAAATGCCAGGCTCTTATATCCGGCTGAGTCTGGGTTGTGTTTCTCTGGGGGAGAGAAACCATAGACTCCATCAGATTTCCCAAAATGGGCCAAGAATTGCAGCTCAGAGGCTCTGCTCATCCCAAGAGGGCCCAGCAGCACTGGAAATCCCACACTAGCTCCACACTGCGGTATCCAAGCCATGCCGTTGAGACAGACAACCCCATGTCTGCGGTGCATGCCCGTAGCCGGGAGAAAGCCTGTCTTCTTTGGCAGCAGGAAACGGCCATGCGCTGGCCTATCTTTGTCAGAGCCCTCTTCAGCCCTAACACCCGTCAGTCCAGTAGCTGAGGAGGCTACAGATAGGCTCCACACGTCAGGGGCCACTCAGTGAGCTACCTCATAGGCATGTTAAAGAGAACGGTGTCTTTCATTCAGAAAAGTGCCGCTCATTTCATCACTGAGATGACTTTCAAGAGGCTTCCATTTCAGTGACAAATGGAGCTGCAAGGCACGGGATGTGAGAAGGGCATGGTAACCTCACGTGTGCCAGGGCCCCTCAAGACTACCTTCCAGCTGCGTTTCCACGCCCTGCCCTGGGGACCAGAACGCCAGGGGTTGTCTTGAGACTGTCTGCTTGTTATGAACCCTTGTACACTGTGGGAGATACACGAGGGCACACGTGAAGCATTGCTAAGTCTACTGTTCCCCAGAATTCACACAATGCGGAGGAAAGGGGGAGCTCCCCTCCACCTCAAATGGGGGAGCTACCCCTGAAGTAAAAGAAGTACCACATAAAGGGAAGCCTGGGCGGCTCAGTCGGTTAAGCTTCCGGCTCTTGTTTTCGGCTCAGGTCATGATCTCAGGGTCGTGAGCTCGAGCCCCATGTCTGGCTCCACACTCAGCATGGAGTCTGCTTGAGAGTCTCTCTCTCTCTCTCTCTCTCTGCCCCTTCTCCTGCTCACACTCCAAATAAATAAACAAACAAACAAATAAATAAAATCAAAAGAAGAAGAAGAAGAACCACATATGGGCCTACCACCGGACATGGGTGGCCCCTGGTGTCTTCTCAAATACAGAGCTGCGGCAATGAACATAGTCCCATGTTATGCCCTCCAAAATAGACTTCTATGGTCAAATACACTAAGGAAACACAGCTGTTACAACACCTTTCTTAGAGGGCCGAGATGAAGATTAGCTGATTCAGGGCTCTGAGGAATTCTACAGTAAACAAACTTGATCCGCCCAGGGCTTCCCAAACTCACTGGACAGACTGCGGAGCCCTTTCTTATGCAGAATGACCATAAACATTCCAAAGAAATACACAAGGCACCTTGCCTACCAATAATAACTCTAGGTAAGTGTCATTATTACCCCATTAGACAGATCAAGGTCGTGAGGCTCTAGAAAGTTGAGTGGATTGTCTTAAGTCTCCACAGCCAGCACCTAGCAGAGCTGGGATTTGTCCAACTGCTAAACTAGTTACCTGACCATCTGATTCCTGAGGCACTGTGAGAATGAGTTTATGAGACACAGACACCATCCCCATCAGAAGCAAGGAAAGAAAGGAGCATTTCTGGACTTGGTGTAAGACAGACATTGAACCGGCTCTGCGTCTGGAAAGGAAAAAGGATGAAAGAGGGGAAGACACCACAGTGGATTCTGAATACTGCCGTAATCTCCCCCAAGGAGTCTTGCTTGTGGAGAGTTTCATCAACAGTAGCTGCTTCTGAGCATCTCCCCAGGGGCTGCAGTCTGGAGGTTTGCTTGAATTTCATGCATTGGTTTATTTCACCTCCTGATCAGGCCTGAGGGCTGTCAAACATAGACCAGCCTCTCGTACCCACTTCAAAAGAAGCAGACAGAAGGTGAGGAGGTCAGACTCAGAAAAAGCTAGAGGCCAACAACAAGGGGCAGGAGGGCTGCCTTAACCCAATCTCTGAGGCCCTATGGCAAAGAGCTCTCAAGATTTCCACCCATTGAAGGCTCCAGGAAGAGATGCTGAATAGCCTGAGCTAGTCAACCTGTGGCATTCTCCTGCCAACTATTATGTGTCCAGGGATGATGGGTACATGACCAAGGTTGGGCCCAATCCCTTTTTCCCTGTGTATTAGCTATCTAATGCTGTGTAACAAATTATCCCAAAACTTACTTTTGGGATAATTAAAACAGCAATAACCATATATTAGGTCTCAAGATTTCTACAGGTCAGGGATTCACAAGTGGCCTGATTGGGACATGCCAGCTCAGGGTATCTTGTGAGATTGAAGCCTCATGTCAACTGAGGCTGTCATCGTCCGAAGGTTTGACTGGAGCTGGAAGATCTGCTTCCAAGGAGGATCCCTCACATGCCTGACAGGGTGGTACAGGCTGTTGGTGGGAAGCTTTGGTTCCTCTCCCCGTGGGCCCCTCCACAGAGCTGACTGAGTGTCCTCACAGCATGGCTGCTGGCTTTCCAAACGGAGCAATCCAAGACACCGAGGACAGCTGTAATGACCTTTATGACCCAGCCTCAGAAGTCCCACCACCGTTTCCACCGTGTTCCAGTTGTTAGAAACAAGTCACTAAGTCCAACGTTCATCCAAGGGTGGGAGGATTAGACCCCACCTTTTAAAGAGAGGAAAGCCAGTAACTTTCTACTCACAGTTCTTCTCCTCCCTTGATGTATCACTCAGCCTCAGAGATGGAGTCCAGCTCCTTTAGTCGTGTTGTTCCTTGACATAATTAATTCCCCCGGTTTGAATTTGATTTTGTGTTACTTGCAGCCAAAGGCACTCTGACAGACACAGATTTTTAAACAATTATGATGCAATGTGGTAAGCCCATAATCAAGGTATTCATACAGTTTTTCACTGAGACAGCAGGGAAAAAATCCACTAACTCAGCTTGGGGAGGACAGACAGAGGTAATCCCTGAACTCAGTCATGATTGGGGTGCTGGTATTGCTGATTTTGGGGTTTTGTGCCTTTTTAATTTTGGTTTTATTTTACAACAAGAATTGACTTCTATCTCTAGGCTATGGCCTGAAGATGAAACATTCAGGCATCTCTCTTGATGAGTAGTTCTAGATTTCTGTTACAAAAAGAAATTTCTCATTATTAAAAAAAAAAATTCTGCTATGTGATTTCAGTATCACATTTCTACACATTAGGGATCTCAACCCTTATGAAAATCAAATATAAAAAGAAGAAAATTTAGCGAACTTGAACCTAAATCAAGAATCACCTCATTATTATTAATGAATAATCACCCTCACATTAATGAATTAACTTTAAAATACCAAGCTTAACTGCTAATTAACCTTCAATCGATGCTTTAAATAAATTGTATTGTGGTTACAAAGTAAAAATATCATTAATAACATAACATTTTCAATATTATAATCTTTCAGATACTGTGATTAATAGAAAGTATTTCTTTAATTTTCCAAGCTTGCTGTTTTTTAAATGATATTAAGCCTGGGGAAGGGAGGGGAGAGCAGAAGGCAGATCATGGACATCTAGCCAGGTCACTCTGACACTGAGCAATGTCCTGAGGCCTGGGCCTGGTGAACACACAGTAGCTACACTGTCCATCAGAAAAACATCTGGTTAGGGCATGTTAGGTTTAGGGCCCAAATAAGCATCCCTGAATTCTTCTTCATACCTGACCCAGCTGGTCGCATGGCAAGAACCCCAAATCCAGATGAAATGGAACCAGGCACTCAGCACACATCCTCGTTACCAAGAGACATGAGCAACCCAATTCTTTCTTCTCAAGGGAGAGGACAGGGGGTCCTCCCACAAAATCCTGCATCACAGCCACTTAATGTATTCCTGAGAACTGAGGATCTATGGTTGTCATTACAGAAGAGTTCCCTTCTAAGAAATACTCCCTAGGCCTTATCTTATTACATCTTCATAATGACCCTGAGAGGTAGGTATGGTGGCGACCGTCACTGAGAGCCAATGCCCATGTGTTCCTCTATACTTCTTCCACCCTGGCCGCTAGTTTGGGGTCATTAGACGGAGCTGTAGTCAGTGGACTGGATACCACTCCCAGACCTGAGCCCTAAAACCAAGGTCTGCAAACACTTTCTGCGAAGGGCCAGGTAGTAAACACACAAGGCTTAGCAGGCCCTACGGTCTGTCTTTGATAATAAGTAACCTAATGGGTGTGCCTGTTCCAATAAAACTTTATTTATAAAACCAACCAGAGCCTACATTTGGCTCATGGGTATAGTTTGCCAACCTCTGTCCTAAAACATCCCTCTAAATCCTCATTCTTGCCTGGCTTAATACAAAGGATTCAGCAGAGAGCCTTGGGGAGGCCTTGGGGGAATGACAGAGCCACAGAATGGAAGAGCCTAGCTCCCTGAGCTGCTGCCTAACCCAAATTGTACTGTGACTGAAGCAAGAAATAACTTGCATTGTGCTTAAGCCACAGAGATTTGGGGATCATTGGTCGTGCCCTCTTGCATTAATTAACCTGATTAACAAAGTCGGTTTAATTGTTCCATACTTATAATTGTCCAGCTCTTTCTAGCCCAGATAACTGGCTCTGTCCACTTTAGGAAGAGGTTATGATTCCAGCACAGCTCCCCGAGGATAGCCCCAACTATGTGTTAATCCTGAGCCGCACGACGGCTTTGCATACACACAACACTGCAGCTGGTCCCACACCACTGGCTGTGGATAACTGCTCCTGTGTGACAGCTAAGAAAGATGAGGCTCCAAGAGAGAAGTGGTCCTCCCTAGTTGACAAAGCAAACAACAGATGCAGGTCTAGGATGACGAACTCATCCAGGCTGGCTGGAACACTCCCGGGTGTAGCCCTGAAAGTCCTGCATCCATCCTGGGCAACAGGGCTGGCTGGTCAGCACCCAAAACTCAAGCACAGGTCTGTCTGACTCCGAAGCCCATCCTCATGGCCTATCAGGAAGGGGGTTTGCAAGAGGCCCACTCCATCTTGACCTGGTCCCCACAGGAGGCCTCAGACACCAGCGCCCAGCCCCAGGTGTGCTAGACCCGGGGGGTCAGGAGGGAGCCATGTCATCTCCTCCCCCCAGGCCTCAGGCCTCTTCCCTGAAGCAGTGAATCAGGCATGAATTTTAAATATACACTAGCTTGAGTGTGGAAGTCAGCCCTGACATCTATAAAATGGCACTAAATCCTGCTTTTATGAGCTCTTGCTACATTCTGCGGAGTGTTTTATCACACTCACTGGAAGTTTACTGAGGAGAGTTAATAACCCAAAAACACGGTGGCCTGCTTGTCTACGGATTGAGCAGTGGGACACCCAGCCCGTGAGGTCGGGGAGCTCTTCCCAGTGGTGCTACAGACACCCACACTTCCGTTTCCCCTGTGCTCGGCTCCACCCCAGGCCCACCCACTCCTTCCTCCTTCCATCCGTCTGTCCATCCGTCTGTCCAGCCAGCTGCTCAGGATCCAACCTCAGGACCGGTGCTCAGGTGGTCAGGGAAGGACTCTCGGCAAGGGTGGAACCTGAAGGTTGAGAAGAACTTGCTCGCACCAGAAATGAAGGAAACAGTAACCCAGGGGGAGGGAAGAGCATAGGCAAAGGCCCTGAGTCCTGGAACAGTTCACCCAGGCAGAGAAGGCTTCCAGAGAGGAGAGGGCCGGGACCAATCCTGGAACACCACAGACTAGAAGAGATGGGCGGAGGAGGGAACATCCTGAAAGGAAACAGAAGTAAACAGTCGGAGACCTGGGAGGGAAAACGAGGCTGGAGAGAACCATGCCTGGTGCAGCAGGGGGAATCTCAAGAAGAGAGAGCTCAGCGGGGTCAGATAGTACCGAAAAGCTGAGTAAGAAAGCCAACACAGGGCTCCCTCGGCTTGGACAATGTCCAAGTCGCAGGTGTCTGCTGAGTGCATACTGTGTGCTGGGTTCTGTGCCAAGTTCCAGGGAAGCAGATAAAATAAAACACAGGGTTTTAAGGAGGAAGAGGGGGGAACAGAGAAATATTCAGATAATTACAGTGACCTGTGTCCGATGCTGTGGGATCCCAGAAGATGTGCAGAGTAATGGGATCCCAGAAGATGTGCAGCTAGCTGGGGAGTTGGGGGTTCTTGTGAGAGAAGGGCACAACTGATTTGGTTTGTGAGAAGCGAATAGGAGTTTACTAGATTGGTAGAGAGACAGAAGAAACATCATGGGCCAGGCAGCAGAGGCCTATGTTGAGGAACACAGGGAGGTCCCTTACCCTGGGAGAGTGGGGGAGATGAGGCTGGGGTGCAGGGGAGGCAGTGAAGGACCTCCCAGGCCCTGCCAAGGAGTCCAGGTTTATTCAGGCACAGAGTGGCATGGAGGAAGACAGCATCCGATCTGTACTTTAGAAAATAATCTCGGGGCACCTGGGTGGCTCAATTGGTTAAGCGTCTGACTCTTGATTTCAGTTCAGGTCATGATCTCGGGGTTGTGCGATCGAGCTGCAGACCTGGCTCCGTGCTCAGCTAAGAGTCTGCTGGAGATTCTCTCTCTCCCTCTCCCTCTACTCCTAATCCCACTCACTCACTCGTGCTCTCTCTCTAATAAATAAATAATATCTTTAAAAAAGAAAAAAAGAAAATAGTCTCTGGCTGTGGGTCCCAGCCCCAGCTTTGACGCTAACGTGCTGAGCAACCTCGGACAAGTCCCTTCCATGCTCTGGGCCTCAGTTTCCCACCTCTGACTGGGGAAATGAGACTGTGCCCTCCCGTCCTTTCAATCTGAAGGCTCTGTGGTTATTACAAGAGTCAGCTGTTCTCAGAGTACCCTTTGTATGCAGCCCGTACAAATAAATTCATCACGTGGATTCAAATTTTCAGAGTCATAACTTGCCTTGAGTTTTTGAGAAGTTTTTGCCTAAAAGACTGTTGGGGTCAAGCACACCACCAGCACGTCTAAGAGGCTTTTTCGAAGTTCCTTGGTGAGGATGAGAAGCGAAAACTCCATCGTAGCCCAGGGGAAAAGCTGACATTTGGTGAGATGTGTGTGTTTAAATTCCACCACTTGACATCTGTTTTCAATTAATCTGCCCATGTTAAGAAGGATGCTGCCCAGAGCACAGGATTCAAGCTCCGTTCCAGAGAGGCAGAGGGTTAGTGCAAACCCAGTCCACTCGCTCCCTCCCACTCCCATCCCCAGGGGCTCCCACATACCCCCAGGACCACCTGGCCTGCGCAGTGCCTGAGGATGGCTCCACTCCCCTCTCTGCAATTTACACTTCAGCAAGACCAGGCAGGACGAGTTTGAAGAACTGAAAGGAAAGCCAAGATCACTGGATATACTGATCAGAGAGTGGCATGGGGTGGGTGGGCAAGCAGGCTGAGGCCAGATCCCGCAAAGCATTGTCGGCTGAAGGAGGGAGTCCCATTTTTCTTCTCAGTCTGGTGGGAAAGGACATGGTCCGGTTTGCATATGTATGAGCTCTCTCCATGCAGAGTGGGCTGTACAGAGGCAAGAGGAGGAGGGGACATCACTTCAAACCACACTGGAAAAGGCAAAGCTATGGAGGCAAGTAAAAAGACAAGCGGTCGCCGGGGCGGGGCCGGGGCGGAGGAAGCGAGGAGTGGGTGGAGCACAGAGGGTCTTTAGGGCAGTCCAACTACTCTGCATAATACTGTAAGGATGGATGTGTGTCATTACGTGTCGGGCCAAACCCACAGAACGTACAACACCAACAGTGAACCCTAATGTCAACTACGGTCTTGAGATGATGATGTGTCAGTGAGGGTCCATCAGGTGTAATGAATGTGCCACTGCTGGCGGATGGGCACTAATGGGGGAGGCTGTGCATGCGTGGGGACAGGCGGTCCGTGGGAAATCTCTGTACTTTGCATTCAGTATTTTTGTGAACCTAAAACTGTTCTAAAAAATAAAATTCGTCAGCCTAAAGAAAGTTTTTAAATTAAATTCACCTGTTTCTGTTCCCTTGCTTCAATGAGGCAACAAGGAAATGTAAACCTTCATGTGTGGCTCTCACGGTGTCCCTACAGGCCGCCAGGGAGTTTGAAGGGATGGTGTTACTTACACAGACCCGGGAGTGGTGGTAAATGCAAAAGGAGGAGCCGTATCTGAGGCATGGGTCCGAGGTAGTGCATTCATTGGCAGATCTTGCTGATAAGATGGATGGTGGGAATGAGTGAGGGAGAGGGATGCTGGCTGCGATTCTGGCCTGATCACGTGGAGGGGTGGTGCCGCCTGATCACGTGGAGGGGTG